GGGGGGGGGGGGGGGGGGATAGATCGAGAGAGGGAGAGCTGAAGTTCTATTCGGCGACGTAGATTAGCGAAGATGTCTAGGGCGCGCGCGCACAGGGTTTGCTCTATCTCTTCCTCTCTCTCTCTCTCTCTTTAGGTATTATACTTGCAGTCGCGGTAAGAAGTTGCGAATCAACATCTCGTTATCCGGGATTCGAAAACTTTCGCGTCTGCATACCGGCAACAGAGCGGCCCGAGCAACCCCTGAACCATCGCCAACGCCCGCGTTTCTCCTCGCACATCCCCGAGGAGAGGCTGATTGTTGCGCGTCCTTTTGTAGAATTTCTGTCTATCTCGGAGACGGGAGGAGCCTCCACCTCCTCCTCTTTCACCACTTCGTGGGTCGCAACAAAAGTAGGCGAAGTCGGGAGATTCAATTGATGAAACGGCGGATTGTCGGCCGACACAAAGAAAGCCGCGAGAGACACACGGCGACATCGATAACGAGGCATCGCGAATCTCGGCTTTCACAGCGGTTTCTCAAATAACGACCTCGGGAGTTTCGGCGAAGAAAGCGCGCGCGACGGGATAAATGAAGCCGAAGTTAAAGCCGAGGCAGCGCGCTCCACGTTCCCCGAGATCGGGAATATATCTTATCGTTATAGTCCGGCGAATTCCGATTCTTTCGCAGAAGCAGCGCTAACAACGCGGGATTGAGTTCCGCTTGAAATATTCCCCGATAGAAAATCCGTATCGCCGGGCTCGAGAGCGCCACTTGTACCACTTTTTTCACCGGGGAACTCGAGATTAATTATCAATGATCGCGAGCGACAGGACGTAATTTAGACCGTTTGGCTGCCGCCGCTGACACTTCCGTCGCCCGCAAAGCACACCATTAAATCTCGCTCCGCGCGATTAATTTTACAGCGCAATGTCATCAAGGAGTCGAAAACTTCGAGACGTCCTTCGCTTCCTCTTCTCCTTCGTATCCTATTCCGGGAGGATCTCGCTGCCGTAGTTTTCCCCTCCTCCCCCATCGTACCCATCTCCACCCTCGTCTGCTCTACAAGGCAGCGGGTCTCTCTTAATACGCGAGCGGTGTACAATTTCGAAACTTAAAGGACGAAGTCAAGGAGGGCTCCGAGCGAATTTGCCTAAGTTCTCCGACTTCGCTTCCTCGTCCCTCGAATTATTTCGAGCTTCTATCCGCCGGTAAAAGTAATTTTGTCCTCGAATATAGTAAGGAAGTGAGGGAAAGAGAGAGAGAGAGAGAAGGGAAAAGGAGAGTGAGCTGGTGCTGAGCCGAGACGGTACAGAAGACACGGGGCAGGTTCGGTGGAAGACAGCCGGGGAAAGATGCTTTTAGTTTATTACCTCGAGGAAATTACACCGTCGAGCCCCCGTCGGATTCGTAATTTTTTTGCTCCTCCTCGGCGACTCGCGCCAGAAGACACCAGCCGTCGCAGCGCGCCGCGACTCGCGCACGCGGAATTTAAAACTTCCCCCCTTCCCGAAAGCTCCATCGCGCATTTTGAGGAATTGGTCTTACACTGGGGTGTCGCGGAAATATTCCGTCGCGGTGGAAAACGACCGTAGCTATTTCCGCGCGACGCGTGTACAATCCCCGCGTTTTTATCCGACTGGATCTTATCCCCCGAGGGAGGAGCGCGGCGCGAAGTTACCGCGCGGAAGAGAGAGAATTAAGCGGAGGTATTCATTGAAAACGCGAACTAAGTATCTCGAGGTTAACTTCCTATTTGTCAGAAGTACGCATCTCGCGCGTTTTTCCCTCGGTCCTTCCGTCGCGGATAATTCGTAATTTCATTGTCTCGAGAGCCGTTCTCCGGCGGACTCCGGCGGTCGGTCGCGAACAAACCGAATACCAGGAGCAATTTTCATTTCCGGGCCCTGCTTAAATTATAGTCTCTTGCTCCTGTCGCGCTTCTCCATTGAGTAAATCACTTTCGGCCCATAACCGCTAATCTTCTTTGGTCGCGCTCACTTGCAATCGTCGGCGCGATTTATTGGCTTGAAACCGGACCGGCCGATAAATATCGATCGACATTCCGCGCCGCATACACTCCGCCTTTCGGTTCACGACCATAATGCGTCTCTCCTCCGCTCGTTTACGAGGGTAATCTATCGCGTCGCGTCATCGGACCGTGCATTATTCAACTTTCCAACTTTTGCGCGTTAGGTGCTTCTCGTAAATGTGAAGTACACCGAGTGCGAAATTAAATTACGGCAACGAGCTCGTTTGTCTGAGCGCGCTCTCGCCAAGTGGGCGAAGACTGTAAAAAGACGAGTTCCGCGAGCTCGCAACATCGATCTCGTATATATTCTCTAACCGCAACGCATTAATTATTAAAAGACATTGAAGTATACTTGTGGCTACATGAACCTTGTTAGATGAGAGTTAAAAATGACTGTTACCTTCCTCTTCAAAGGATGATTTGCTCGTGTTACCCCACACTTTATACAAAAATAAATCCGATTAAATGCGGAGTTAAAATATAAGATGTATCTGCGTGTGAAAATAAATTCAATTAAACGTGAATTCAAAAAGTAAAAAGAAAGCCTCTATCACCGACGACGTCGAGGATCGTGATCAGTCAGTTCCGATACGACAGCCTACACAGATACATCAAACTGATTAAAGGTTATCGCGTCTCCTTGGCACCGCGACGGCGATCGGGTGGACGAAAGTTTCTAATTCACTTTAATTAGCCACCACCGCGAGTCATCCGGATCGTCGGACGAGGCTGCCTGTCACAACCAACGGCCATTTTCCTCAGCGTCTGGAAGTGCACGGATTATCAGAATATCGGGGACGCGACCGTCCGGAGATGCCGTTAATATAGCCGGAAATTACGGAAGAGACGGCTTTTATCGGCTGCGGTAGCAGGCTGGATGCGAGTGTCTCGGCGCTTCTCGACGGTCAAATTGAAGGCAGCCCCGTCCATAATCCGCTTCCCTCCGCGTTGACCCGCGAGGGTCACTTCGAGTCGACCTGCGTGAGGAATTTCAAAATAACGCAGCCCGCAAACATGCCCGACGCGGCAGGCAATGGCACGAGAAGCACCGTTTGAAAAATTTCCCTACGCGAAATTAGCCCTTTTTCGCCGAAGACTGCGGAGTGAAAAATTAATCTGCAATTTGGAGCTCTCGACTTTAATTAGATCTCATTCTCCTTTATTACGGTGAAATTTCCCGCTAATGCGAACACCACATCGAGGTCAAATTTGATCTCGCCGTAGCGGCTCGAGAATCGCGAGCGGAGAATTATTTAGTTGAGCGCCGCACGGCGAAAATTCAACATTCATCGTCCGAGCGAAATCGAGACGCCGACCGATCGAGAGGCCACGTCGGAATCCATCGGTTATCGGAATGCCGCGGTGTCTCGGGCGGGATTTCCGCTGCGATCGAATCGATGTCGCGATCGATACGGACGCTCGATTTCCCGTAAATGTTAACGGGCCCGCGAGTCGCGCCGGCTTCGTCGTCGTCGCATACCATGGAGAGCTAATTGGACCGCGGATGTACCTAATCGAACCTAATGCGAGCAGCCGAGGCCGTGTCTCGGGCTCCGGTAACGGGCCATGAATTATCGATAAGCCGCAAACGCCTTCCTCCCGCTATCAATGAAGTCGCACGTGGTAGGTCGGCGCACGGCTCGCGAAGACAATGCGACCGCCATTCTGACAGCGGAACATGACTCTTCGAGCATCGTGACAGATGGAGACGCGCGATTGAATCTAATTAACCCCGGCAAAACCGGAAGCACAAAGTGCACGGCTGCTCGAGCAATGGGACGATATAAACTGTGTCCTCCGATAAACCTCGGCAAGTGTCTAATTAAGTATATTATACTTATCAATCGATACGCATATTTATTAATTATATTACATCACTCTTATAATTGTAACTATTTATAGTTGTTATAGTTATAATTATTTATAGCTTCTATGGTTATAATTATTTCAAAGTTGCAACTGAAAATTTCATACACTCCTCGTGGATAATATATCTGTTATAAAAGTTATATGCGCTGTAATCTTTCTCCATGGAAGATTGAAGCTTCCTGTTAGCCCCGCTGTTAGCCCCGGAAATTCCATTATCTCGCGAATACAATTTCAACGTTGATTGTCACGGAAAATAATGCCGAGCGCACGCCAAAACACGGCTACACGTACGCGCCACGTATACGCAAACGCCAACTTCGAGCGGAGTCCAGATCCGCCGCTAGACGATAACATCACGTCTCGCTGCGAAATTCCTCCATTAGCAAAGCAAATATCCCTGTATTCTTTCTGCCCGCAGAAGAAATCGAACGAGAATTCGATAAAGCTGAGGAACCTCGTCCTGGCAAGTTCGGGTCAGTACAAGTGCGAGGTTTCCACCGAGGGGCCGTTTTTCGCCACCACCTACCAGACAGCCAATCTGACGGTGATTTGTGAGTATTCATTTTTTATTTCGCATCGGACGATCCATCGATTCGCGTGGTTCTCGGTGTGGAGAAAATTAATCACTGATAAAATTTGGTTTTTCGACATGGACTTCCGGCTCGCGCGTCTGGTCCGCGTCGCGCATGTCCGCCCAAAATTACACGAATTCTTCGCTCATTCGATGAACCCACTCCCCTCTACCCCACATTTCGACGATAAATCTCTTATTCCGAATCTCCCGAACTTGTTAAATCCTCCACGATAAATCGAGATAATATCGCGGCCGGTAATATCCTCTCGTTACACATAAAATCCCACGGTCCCGTTAATTCACGAATGCCCAATAGAAACTCACGCCTGTTCGTTTGAGTTACCGGTAACAATATCTGCCATTATGGGATATTTATGTATTGCCGAGCGCGATAAACTATTTCGGTAACAGCGGCGCGACCGGACTGTTTTATTGTGAAATAGTTGTCCGCCGGTTCGTACCGCAAACCATTTCGCACATCCTCGCACCATTAATTCGTGTCTTGGGTGCTCGCCTAAATATACTTTTTAATTACACACGCGACCAATCATTTCATTGTGCGGCGTGCGCAAATAATGATACCGCACGACACGCGTCCGACAGTAATATTTCACGCGCGGTGCGCTTTACAATATTTTGTTCCGTCAAATTGTTGCATGTGTCCGCGCGAAAGAAATGTGAAATTTATCGTTTTAGCGGCAATGATAACGTTGGAATTTACCACGTGCCGGAATTCCTCAATTTTCGATGGAAACATATTCTGTTGCTACGTCAAGAATTCATTATCCTTCGAAGCAACATTTTCACGCGTACACTGAAAAAAAAAGTTGAAATGTTCAGGAGCAAATATTACTCGTGATATTTTCTTCGATATTTATCGGTTACAAAAAAAATTTGTGATGACGAAGTCAGTATTTTTTTCTCAATGCACGAGTGGTACAATTCTCAATAACGAGTGATATAAAAGAGATACGTGTGTGTTTGCCGCTTTAATATTCGCGACATTTCACGAATCACTGATCCGTCAATCGAGCGCGAGTTGAGCGGAGAAAAAAGAGAGAAAAATATCATGTCGCTCGCGCAAAAAATTATACGCCGCCATCGGTGTGTACATCTTCGGACAATCGTCATAATTTTGCGCCTTAATAGGCAATTAAGCGATAAAAGCTGCGCATGGTCCGCCGGACGTTTTATGATGACACACTTACACTGATTTCGTCCGCGTTACCAGGCGGCCGTGTTGCCCGACGATGTTCCCGGGCCGTCATTAAATGCGTACGTTTCAATTAACCATTTAATTATGTACATTATAATTCATATGCGAATCACGTAAAATACGCGCCCCGCGTTTATCATGTTCCCACGCGCCGCTGAAATGGCGTCATCGGTCAGCGATGTTAATTTGTCCCGGTCCAATCGTCCCAATAAAATCGTCCGCGTTTCAGCCGGCGGATAAATCGGCCGGCAAGCATTGCGCGTCTGCGAAATGATCAACTTGGTCGGCCGACGGAAGAAAAATAGCATTATCACCGGAGGTGATGCGCGGGCGCACGTAGCCGTCGAGAATCAATCAACGCCGAAATTTATCTTCGAAAAGTGCCTCCGCTCGTGCGAGAGATCAATTAAATGTACGCCATACGAACGCGATGTTCCCTCTTTTTTCCACCTTTTTCCCTTCTCTTTTTTTTTGGTTTTACTGCTAGCGACGGGAAAGCCGGTTTCGGGACGACAGGTGCCGATGAATAAGTCCTCCCGAAAAAATAACGCGTCCGCAATTCTGCCTATCGCTCGCGGGTCTCGATTCTTGGCCGGGCCACGTAAATCACTTGCGAATGACGAAAACGTCCAGGCTGGCGAGGCACCCGCAGTCGGTGAGCAGACGAAGCTGCCGCCGCGGTATCGCGGATTCGCCGGTAAAAGTTGCGAATCCGCGATACGGCGAATATTCGACTCGGCGGGGGAAAAAGCGATTTTGGCCGGCGATTGAAAATCGACACAGCCCGTATGTCGCGTCTCAGCCCTTTGCTCATCAAGGATTCATCGGAAATTATACTCGGCGACTCGCGAACGAGGCCGAAGCTGCGCACAATCGGGTCGTGCAATTCGATTACAATGTAATTCGATTACTCACTCCGTCGAATTGACCGGTTATACGCGGCCTCGAATTGCCGGAATAATCTTCTTTCAAAACGCTCCAGTTTCACATTCGCGTACTATCGCCGATAATTCTAATTACGACATATTTTGCATGCTCGCCAAAGCTGCCTGTCGTGAAATTTCAAGGATTCCTGTGTTACAAAGTAACGAGGAAGCCGAGCGAATGATTACTTCATAAATACGCGTGTTCGAAAAGAGATTCCAACATGGCGATTTGATCCCTGTTTGATGGATAATACGCGGTGTTTTAGTCCCGGAGAACGAGACAAAAGAGCAACGGGCGGTCAAGGGAGGGATGGGTAGGGGGGGAGGGGGAGGGAAGAGGAAACGGAAACTGGCCGGAGTGGAAAAAAAGAAACGCGTAACTGCAAAAGAGAACGGGCTGTCCGGTTTTGCGAGCCCTGCTCGTCGACCGCGCGAAATTTGTTTCTNCGAAATTTGTTTTTGCCCGTTGGGAAGGGGCCGCAGGAACGATCCCCCCTGCCCCCCCCCCCCTCTCTCTCTTTCTCTCTCTATCTATTTATCTATCTATCTCTCCGCCTATCTCTCTCTCTCTCTCTTTCGTTTTGTCTGCTCTTCACTGAAAAAAATTTACATCGTTTATCACCATACATCATCGAAAAAAGAAGCGAAAAAAAAGCGTATTCGCCTGTCCCGTCGAATATTTTCGCGGGTGCGAGCCTATCTCCGTTCTCGATTCGGTCTCGACCGAATTCGCTGGCGCTGTTGTCGAAGTGTTACGACTGTTCCGATCGAACGCAAATTTTTGACAGCCCGTGACCGCATTCACTTAAAAGTTGTTTTTTTTTTTTATTCGCGAACATCGTGCCCGGCCTGAAATCGTTCGGCTGTCGTCCGTCAGTGATATCTGAAATTCAGTTTAATCCCGGTTCGCCAAAACCGCGCACGGCCGATTTAAAGATTCAGATCGATCGGCCGCGGCAAAAAATCGCGCCACGTTCGGGCAAAGTGCGCGATCCATTATTGAAAAGTAAGTCATGTTCGGAGTGGTGAAAAGAATTCGACGGCTGGGATCGCGAGATGAAATTTGTTCATCGCGCGTGTCTCGATCCCCGATAAAGAATGCCCGGAAAATTGATCGGACACATCGATCGCGCGCCGAGCTACACGAGGCTCATCGCGTTCCGGCGATTCCGCTTGCGGGTTTAATGAGTTTCGTGGCAGGCGCGACGAGGAGGGAGAATTTTCGTAAACTCGATGGCGCGACGCGTTAATCGATACGGCCGGGAAATTACGAATTCGCGACGTTTGCATAAAATAATTGAAACCTGTGCGCGAGTTTGCCGACCGAGCGTTCGCGTTCCTGAAGCGCGCGATGAAAAAATGCGTGACTGCGAGAAACATTTGCCGCGTGGCATTTATTTCGCGTCGGATCGTTTCCGCGATGAGCGGAAAACGCGTAATTTGTAAATTGTCCCCCCGTCGGACCTTGCGTTACGCGCGAGATCACAAAGGCGAAGCGTGCGCAGGGGAGAGGATATTTTGTTGGGAACGAATTCCGCGGAGATATCATTAATACGTACCGCCGACATTCCTCGTAAACAGAATCGCGCGTCGGCTTGATTACGCGTCCTCGTAAAATAGGCGGGCAGAACATTTTTGCAATTGCGAGCTTCGGACTAATGCGGGAAATGTGAACGCGCCGGTCGATAATGGCCGCTTAATGGTGTCGATCGAGCGCGTTTGTCGGAATTATTAAAGACAAAGAAGCCGAGCAGCGCGTTTCATCTCGTCGAAGCGACAATTTATGGATATGTATTTAATTCCGGCCTCTTCCTCCCCCCCCTCCCCCCTCTCTCTATGTTGGAGAGCGGTAAATTTTTACCAAGGCAAATTTATGCACTTGCGAAAAGCGCATCCAGATCGTAAAACCGCACACCGGCGCTTTATATTCTTTGGGTCGCTGATATTTCTCATAATGAAGAGTACATACGGCCGTATTTGAACAACATATGAAAGGGGGCGTCTAGAAAATGCATAAAACGCTTGGAAATGCATATATCCCCCGTGAATGCGAGCGGCTTAATGAAGCGTCTTTCTGTCCGGTTTACTAGCAACTATTCTCTCCTCCCTACCCCCCATGCTGCTCTATGGCCATAAAAGGTCGTCAGAAATGAAAATATCGCGAGCAAGTGCTCTTTTCAGCGTGCTCGAGCACTGAAGTAGCGACGACCATCTCGTATCGTTGCAATAACGGTCGCGAATTTCTCGCTAATTAATGAAGCAATTGAATTTTCATCGCATGTACCCGTTAAAAAATAAGGACTCTGAATCACCACGGACGGCGAATCAGGCGACGCTGTGTTGGATCGCGTTATCCAATAATCGGCACGGATAATTAGGCAAATCGCATAATTTTCATCGCGACAAGTCGTCACCTCGGGGCTGTGTGATGGCAGAGATTCTGCTGGAACCGCGCAGTGCCGCAGTAACGCACGCGGAAACAAAAGTATCTACTTAATCCCGGAAGCGCAACGGCGTCTCTTACCGAGGAAATACAAACTCCTGGATTATGCATGAGAGACGTCGTCGAGGATTTGGTCCCCTCCCCTCTCGATCGTCCGTCCCGCCGCGATATCCTGCCAGCTTCTTCATCGTCCTTTCGTAAGTCGACGAGCAGGGTAAATCGGACAAAAACCGCAGCTGCCTTTCGCTCGGTTTTCGAAACGTTTAAATTGATTCGCCGTCAACGCGCACTGTTTCTCACGCTGTCGACCTCGTTTCCCCGCACATCGCACTTTTCATCACACAGATGCGTCACATCGAGGCATCGAAGCTTATAAATTCGCGGAAAGAGAG